TTTAGTTGAAAATAAAATATTTTAATTACGTCCCATTAGTTCCAAGAAGATTAATATGATGTCTTAACTTTTAATGATTATTATAACTGATGATAATAACTGTAATTACTTTGTTCTAATTTAAATTGTATTACAAAGCGTTGGATTTATTCGGTTCCTGGTTGTTTAAAATAAATCATACAATGTTTCGTATACATTTGAAAACATGTTTCTAAAAATGAATTGTTTACAAATAACTATAAATTATTATGTGATTCAATAGTTCTTAATATTTAAACTTTAAAGTAAACAGTTATTAAAATCTATAAGACGGCACTGTTTGGTAATTTTAATTTGTTTCTTTAGTTTTAATTAATTTAATCGGCATTGATATAATATAACAATTAATATACAAAAAATCAATACAGTTAATATGGTTGTGCTAAAGTGTAATATTATTATATCACAAAAAAATTATTACATAAAAATATAAATTATATTAGGTATACACGAACTGAACAATAAACAGATCGTTAACCATATAATATATTTTTTTACGCATTCCTATTAGTTATTTTGTAATAGGGTGGTTATGGGAGGGGTGAGATAACGAAAAAAACGGAAAAGAAAAAATATGATATGATGGTATTAGACAATGTCATTAGTATATAAGAAAACAAGATAAGACTAGAAAGTATGTGACGTTTGTATGATATACATGTGAACATAAATAAACCAGTTTTTTTCTGTTAAAATGTCAAATTGATAGGGTCCGGTGGATCTCAAGCGAACAACTACCTAGGTTACAAGTCGCATCGGTAAATGTTATAGGTCACTAAAAGCAGTCCCTTACTATCTTATCTTTTATTCGATATTACATATTATACAAATATATATAATATAGGATTATGCGTCTATGGGGTGTCTCAGACTACCAACACGAATATTTTAGTTACCTACTTACTTTCGAAAAATTCCAACACTCCCGTAGTTCTTAAAACCGTGAAAGTAAAAAAAAAAAAAATCGTTTGTCTACCGTTAAGGATCATCCTATATATTTAATTAAGGACATCCTCTTGTGCGACTGTGTAGATTATAAGCTAAACACATAAAATATGGAGATGTGTTCGATACTCGTTTTTGATATTACCCTACTTAGGAATACATATATATGTTACATCCACGTAGCATGCTTGCATGCTTAATAGTTTTTTCCCAGTAAAATGGGCATTCAGTTCATGAAAAACGATCGTATCGTGGTTACGAGATACCTATATCTATATACCTCTTGTTAGGTATACCTAACACTTATCCTTTACATGGAATTACAATTACATACATTCCTTCGGGGGACCAGTAATTATAATTGAAAAAACGAATTTCATGTATAGGCAATAGCTGATGATAATATCAAATAAGAACATTGTCTTGTTTGATTATTTTGGAATTCGTATTATAATATGTTGTGTGTAAATACCTATATAATACCGAATACCGATTAAAGGCGGTTGTTACACGCCTAAGTATTATTATTTATCCATGTTGTAAACTAAAAAGTTAGAAAATATATTTTATGTAACAGTTTAGTACAGTTTACATAATATAACAAATTATATTCAAATGATTTATTGTCCAAACACTATAAAGACAATCGTCTGTCGTCCTTGCTTCACAGCCCACGCTTCGTCAGTCGCATGTCGCTATAACGCAATTTAGACGCACAGCAGTATATGATTTCGTACCCGAAACTTTAAATGCAATACTATACAGTATAATTACCGCAAACTGCCAAACTATCATTATAGGGATATTTTGTCATCGGAAAATTCAAATTCTTGAATAAAAAAAAAATCATTGAACACTTGAAGTTTAAATCGTGAACTGCATCACTGCGCATTTATTGGATCGATGAAACCAATAATTATTACATTTTAATTTATAAAGTACAGCCACAGAAAAATACTTTTACATTTTTATTTCATAGCTACTAATTTTAGTTTATGTTTTCTTACACATATTTTTATTAAATAAAACCACGTAGTTACTACTAATAATAATTTAAATTTAAATTTAAGTACCTATTTAACTGATATGAATATTTTATTCACAATTATCATCTTGGAATTTTTATTATTTTTTTTTAATTTTAACTTATTAAACTATCTAAGTACGATTATTATTTGTCATCTACCAAACCTGCAGGTACAGCTCATTTTGAAAAAATAATTATTTAACCTCTGAAGTGTATAGTGTAAAGTTGTTTTAGAATGACCACAATTTAATAATATTTTATTTTATCAAGTATGGGTAATACGATACGTTTGAACTGATGGGTTTGGGTTAACACGTTGTTTTAATTGTGTATTAATTTATAACAGTAGAATAGGTAACACGGAATAAAATGTACATTTTAATTGAGTCGATAAAGAAAGACCCATATAATATAGTTAATTAATTATATAAATTTTGTATACGGAGTTGTAATCAAATAGAGTAAGTTTTATAATTCAATACAATATAATGAATATGGTTGAATGTGTTTATGGTTATCAAAAACTCCTATTTGCGATTTTATTAAGTAGACTCGTCGAAATGAACAATAATTTTCAACCTCGTGAGCTTGCAATATTTTTGAAGATAACCATTATAATATACTAAAGTAGCTAAATAAATACAAAGTTTAATGCTATTACTGCAATTACGTAAATATACAGTATAATATATTATAATATACAAATCTGAAAATTGGAATAGTAATCGATTTGAAAATGTAATTTATTATGCGTTTCTTATTTCGTTTAGGTAATTATTATTATAATAATCATTATTAAAATATTAATACTAATTTTTATTGTTATTCAATCGTTTGTCAGTACCTATGTATATACTTTTTTATTATAATGTTTTCTTGACAAAGTTATATCTAACTTATTGATTACAGTATTTTTTTGTTTTTGACAATTTATAATATAAAACGATTTACAAAAATGTACCTAGATATTATATAGAATAAATTATACATAGAATATAATGTAATACGAATAATAATATAGGATATTAAATTTTAAATTTTAAATTTTTTTTTAATACATTTTTGTGAACTTCGTGGGGACGACCGCGATTGACCCTACGGAGAGTATGCTTGTCAGTTGTCACTTAGTTTGAATTGAATAGCATTGAGCACTTTTTGTGTGATGTAGATGCATTAATTCTCAACTCACATCATAATATCAAAGTCGTGCAGTGAATCACGAAGGCCACATAGCAATTTCGTCAGTTATTATAATATATAGAAATGGAAAACTGCTATTTTTCGTACTACGGATTTACACTGGCCGAGATAACTTATGCCTAGGTAAAAAAAAAAAAAGTGGAAAAAGTTCTCGTCGTTTGACGGCTGTATAACTTTGAATTCGCATTACATGATATATATATATACCTTCGTACACCAGCGTGCAACTACGGTGCTCGACATAAATAAGATGGTTTACAATAAATATTCAAGTCTGGTACTACATCGTCGTTATATCATGTACATACACATATACTTTGGAAACAAAACTATATACACTTCCGGACGTCCCTCGTATATATTATATGGTATGATATTATGTACGATATAAAGTCACTACAACAGCAGTGTCGTGCAACAAATGGCGGTGCCGTAAAGTTTTCCCGAGGTGGCGGAAAACCACAGCACACCAAATCGAACACCTGCATGTTATTATTATATTATACATGGGGTGGGTGTACTTATAATTTATACACGGAATTCTTTTGGTTTTTCCTGCATCACAATAGGCACCTACCGTTTTATATCTGCGAACACGTCGTGTCGTTATTGAATGGATAGGTCGATTTTATGTATTTAAGGTACCAAACGACGAGGCGATGACTACGGTACCGCGCGCTTTAGTTGTTTTGAGAAGACGATATTATACATAATATTTTTTATGCTTCAAGTTCCCTAATGTAATATAATATGTAAATTATAGTATATATTATATTGTGTATTCACCGTTATCGACACGAGATGGATTCCGGAAAACGTGTGGTTTATGACTCGGCCTTGGATCGTGGTGGTTATCCTCAGGCTCGTATTATTTTATACGGGGTGATTGAAAATAGAAACAAATAGAGATACACATTTGTGTATATGATTTGTATAATGAGAACCCCTTTTTCTATTCCCAATTATTTAGTGGATATTTTTATTAAAAAAATTACGTATCGGAATCAAAATTACAACGAGTTATTTAACATTGTGTATTATAATTTATGGGACCATGATAGTGTTAAGAAGACTTAGGGGCTATAGGGATTTGAAAATTTTAGTTAATAATATTAATCTATAAAATGATCCAAGGATAATAAATACTATATTCAATTATATTACATAATATAATATATTATATTTTTGTAAACCATTTGTAAGGATTATTTTCGTTTAGTAGGTACCTACGACCTACCTATATAAACATTTTAATAACTGAGAGACTATGCGTTAAAGAAATTGAACTAGGTATATCAACGTTTTCAAAAAAATGATGCACTAAATAATTTACAGTGATAAGGGGGTACATTATTAGCATTTTTGACGATCACCCTGTACATATTCATATACCATAATATTATTCTATACACTTGTTGACACGAGTGCGGCGGCGGAGGCTTGCGTAATAACTCTGTACATCCGAACCGGCACCGTTGTCGCAGCGGACGGCGGCGGTGGAGGGGTGTGAAAAATCAGCCCTCGGGAAATTCAACAAGTGCGCGGGGCGTCGCAACGGTCATGCGCGCGGGTGGGTTCGCGCCTCGTGGATGAACGCGGCGGCGGCGGTCGGTGCGATCCTCTCACGGTGTCCACGTCGTCGCGGACCTTAGTCGCAGTCGTCGTCGTCATCGTCGCCGCCGTCGTCGTCCTCGTCGCCATCATCGCCATCATCGCCGTCGCCGCCAACGCCGCAGCCGCCGCCACAGCAACCGCATCGCCGTCGCACGCGATTATACGCCGTCGAATGATGTTGACGACGGGGTGGGCGGTGTCCGCGTGGCTGTTGCTGCAGTTGTTGCAGCCGCCGCTTGCCGTGCAGGCCGCCGCGGGATTCGTCGAGTACAAGGTAGGCGTGCTGATGACCACCAAACTGGACTCGCCGTTCGACCTGGAAAGGTGCGGGCCGGCCGTCGACCTGGCCCTGGACATGGTCAACAAGAAGTTCCTGGCCCACCACAGGGTACGCCTGAAGAAAGTCGAGAGCAGGTAAAACCGTCGCAGTGTATAAAAATAAATTATGTAAATACCTATATCATACGGGTAGGTTGTGTTGCAATAAGGTAGGTGCCTCTATATATAATATATGGCTGATGATAGATGTACTCGGGAGTTATAAATACTTATAAATACTGTTCGCGATGGTGAAAAGATCTTGTATCCTCCGGGGTCAACTCTTGTGCACCGCTCGCCTTTGCCAAATTCAAACTCTGCAGCAGGACGATTCGCCTGTACCTTTATACATACATAACGTAACCGTTATATGGACGCTTTATTAGTATTCGGACTAAAGTCGTTTATTGTTTGTTTATGTATACCACACACACACACACACACACACACACACACACACACACACACACACACACACACACACACGCAAACATCTATTTATCACAAACGCATCTGTTGTTGACGATCTTCGTTTGAAACTTCTCCACGTATACGTGATAAACCCGCCGTATAATAGAAATAAAATGCTAGACAGACAGATATAAATGCGCATTGCGTCGGAATGTAGTTTTTTTAGTAAAGTTCTCCTATTATTGTTTACACCAGCTCACCGGTGAAATAGCCGAACAGGTATCGGGGAAGCTCGAACATAAAAAATTGGGTCTCTTATGCTACGTAATACGTAACATGCAACCCCACTGTTGAAAAACTCCAGAAATTACACCTCCGTATATAGATATAGGTTCCAACCAGTGGCGTATTTACGGGGGGCTGGGGGCTCAAGGGGATCAATCTCACCCACAGACTGTATAGTGTATAATAATATGCAAAAGTTTTCAGACTCCCAACTTAAGGCCTCTAACTTTACGAGCAGGGATACTGGGTAAAATCATATCCCCCCGCCCAAATACAAAAACTTAAATACGCCACTGGTTCCAACACTTATGTACCACCATGTTGGAGATATACCGGTACAATAATAATGTACAACTGTCGCTACTCACTTAAAATATTGTCGTATAATATACAACGTTGACCGTCCTATATTCGGGATTTTTTACCGGCAAGACGAGAAAACCGAGGCCGTGAAATTGACCGTTTTCCGTCTCAGAACACGTCATATACGCCATTTGTACAGCAATTGAACAGCTTTCCAGGTAAAAACTCTAAAACAACGTCTCGTTTAAAAAAATCATCACACTTGTGGGCAGGTACCTGAAACGCAGTTGTAGTAGTAGAACGTTGTTTTCAGTGTTACTTATTGTGCGAGACACCGTCAAACGGGTTTGATTTGTATGTTTAATAAGTTATGAATTTACGATGATAAACGGGTATTGTCGTGCCCTGCCATAGATGTGATGTACGTGAAATATATGTAAAACAAAAAAATATCGTTTAAACTGTACAAAGTGAGTTGTGAGCTTAAAGAGAGTATTTCGAATTCATTTTGTCTTAAAACTATACTACTAGTAAGGCAGTAATGTGAACATGAGGAGATACCTACATCACAGTAGATAGTGCGTGAGATAATATTTATAAAATATATAATTTGATTTAATTTTTCATGATTTTATTTATTACTCTTTCCTATAAAAATAATTCCCGGTATTATTTAGAACCTAAAATTTCTTCAGAAAACCTAATACTCTATAACTGTTATTATATTTTTAAACTTAAAAAAAATTATAAATAATAAAATATATAATATTATTATATACGTACATAAACAGAAGCGTAATTAGTTTTTATCGTTTAAAAAATATAATATGAACACATTCTTGGTAATACAATTTAGTCTTAATAGAATTATGTGTAGGAGGTTCAATTTTGTTACAATACCCATTATAAATGAATGTTACGAATAACCCTGGAAAAAACAACAATTGGTGCTGAATTATAATAACTTCGAACTTTTCAGCAAGACCATAATTTAATTGTATATATAATTATAATATATATCGATGATTGAAAACTTTTATATATATATATCTTGAGTTACAAATTAAAAACAAACAACTAAAACTGAAAACAAATCTCAAGTAAATTTGAAACTATTAATGGAATTTCATATTATAATGTTCTCTCATTATTTATTTCAATCTTACACATATTTTGATTTTTAAAATAAGATATTATAATAATATGTGCAGTAGGTATATAATATTATTTTATGTATAAATATAATTTGTATTTAGTTACTTTATATTTTATGAATACAAACTATCTTTAGATTTGGTATACAATACATATTACTACATACACATCATTCATTGTGTTAGATATATAAAAAGTATCGAAGAAAATATATAATGGTATTAAGAACAATTTAAATTTTTGACAACAATACCCATAATATAATCATATTATAATAATATGTCAAGAATATTGTGGCATTCGTTTTTAACATTATCACTTTTCATTTTTTAATAAAATTGGCTTCGTTCAGAAATCAGAATCTTTATACAGGTACCAATATTTTTAATGCAAAGACACCTATTCAAATTCAGTATATTTTGATGAATGTATTAGTTTTACAATGATATGTGTTTTTAAAATAAGGTGAATAGACAAATGCAAACAAAATCTTTTGGAGTCGTAAAAATGCATACATTTTAAACATTTGAGGGTGCTTAGACAATAATTGGGTCTAGTTGGTATTTCGGAAAGTCAATAGTAAAATATTCCTTGTATCAGGCACGCCCGTAGTTTAGTAGCTCACTAGGTGTAAAATAGTTTTAGTGACAAAATAAGCTGGGGGGGGCTTCGCCCCCCCCCCATTACATAACCCTAATTTAATGATATCTTTAAGCTGAATTTTTAAAAATATAAGGATTCATATTTTATACTGATTACCTAATAATTAGATACTCATCTACATGTAATGGTTAATATAAATTGGTTATTAATTGTAATATAAAATAATTAATTGTTTGGAAAAATATACCATTTACTGAATTAGCCCTAATTTTATTGATACCTACATTAGTTTAATTTTTATATTATATCCAAGTAGAGCTTTGGAGTTACAGGAAATGTATTTTTATTTTATGTAGCGCATAGCTTTTTTTAACTAGTTTATTTTAAGATTTTAATTGCAATTTTCAGCACTAAATGTAATTGTTTTACAATACAATTAAAATATGAATATAATTGTATAACGATGCAATAAACAATTCACAGTGTTAGGTTTATAAGTGTAAAATAATATTATTATACTATCATAATATTTTATTCTTATACAGTATACACCAATATACTATTATGATGAGTGGATCAAACATATACCTACCCATTCAAAGGCCTCGCTACTGCCGTCAATTTTAGCTCAAAATACTTTAGATACCTACGTTTTAATAAAATTAAAGTTAGTTTTCGTTGTCTGATTTTTATTCTGAAAAACCTGAACTCGCCGGAAAATTGTCTAGATCGTACTGAACACTTTGTAAAAATTAAAACTTAAATTATTCTAAACTGTAATTGATTAAAAATCGCCTAAATGTTGTCCCTCATATAATAGCCGTAGCGAAGCCCCTTATTAATTTATATTATATAAAAATGAATTGCTGTTCGTTTGTCTCGCTAAAACTCAAGAACGGCCGGACCGATTAGGCTCAAATTTTTTTTTAAGATGTTCTTAATTGCCTGGAGAAGATGGGAACGAAAGAAAATTTTAGGAAAACCCACCGGAAAAGTAGAAAATTTGAATGTCAAAAATTACAATAGTGGCACCATCTGTCCAGAAAAAAATTAATTTAATAAAAAAAAAATTAGTTTCAGATTAAAATAATAATAGTGTATTGTATATTGGTTGCTCGGGCATGTTTGTTGATTTGTATTATTGTTATTGTTTTATTTTTATTTTTTACTCGAGAACGGCTGGTCCGATTTGGCTCAAATGTTTTTAAGATGTTCGTTATTGCCAGGAGAAGATTTATACGAATGAAAATTTTAGGAAAATCAACCGGTAAAGTAGGAAATCTGGATGAAAAGAATACAACAGTGGCGCAACAGTGTATTATAATTAATATTGGTTGCTATTGGTTAATTGGGAATGTTTGTTGATTTGTATAATTGTTTTTTTGTCAATATATATGTAAATGAATAAATGTTTGTGTGTAAATTAGACCTCTGGGAAGAAGACAATCTAATTTAAAAATGGTTAAATTTGGTTTTTTTTTATTCATCTGATATTATAGTACGGTTAAGATTTTATATTAACTGATTATATTAATCCACCATAGGTGGAATACGACAAACTTGGTATAATTTTGATACTTGAAAAATATTAAAAATCCTTAGTCACAGTTTTTTTTATAAGCATTTAAAGTTCAAAAATTGACAAAATATGGAAAAATCACGAAAATGAACAAATTATTTTGAGTTAAGAATTCGTAAAAAGTTTTCTTTTTAAATCTAAGATATGTAATACAAGATTCCTTATAAGACTATCTACCTTTATCAAAAAAAAAATGTCTATAAGAAATTCAAATTAAATTTTTATGAGCATTTGAAATTCAAATTTTTACAACATTGGATATTCACTCGATATCTCATGTAGTGATCGCCATATGAATTTAAAAAAAATGTATTGATTTCCTTATTTTGTTGTAATTCAAAAACGAATAACTAAAAAAATCACTAAATTTCACTGTATTGCAGAGGGACATCCACTTACCCACTTTTTTTTATATGTGTATAAAGTTTTAATTTTGACAAACTAAATGATATCAATAATTGATCCAATTCTTTGAAAATTCGGATGCTTTTCGAATAATCTATGAGAAATTTAACTTGGTACCTAGTTGGTTCAAATGACAAATAGTATAATAATTTATTGTCTAAACGTGTTCGCCCACCGCCAAATGTGTTAAAACATATTTCTTGATATTTACATAATTATCACTGTATGTAAATTAAAATAAATGGTTTATTTTATGTGCAAAAATACAATATTGATTATTTTGGAAAAATGTTTTCTTGTACCTATGTGATGTCCAGTAAATAATAATATATCTTTTATTCATAACTTCATGGAA